CGTGCCCGTCGTCCGTGACGTCTCTGACTGGGAGGTCTTCACTGATGACGAGTCTGACAGTGACACTTCTCAAAACACAGTCGATTTCATTGAGCCCCCTCCTGCCTACAAGGTAGACGATCCAGGGTTGGTGGTCAACAGACCCACGTTGGGTAGACCGACTTTGGGCAGGCCTGTTGTTGAGCGGCCTGTCCAGGAGAAGCGTCAGTCGTCGTGGCGACAATGGCTCAACAGAGATAAGGTCAGCCCGGAGGCGGCGGATGAACCGACTCTACGTCCTGACCGAAGGGTGAGGCGTCATCGGTCTGAAACCGAGACACCCGAGGAGCGGGAGGCGAGAAGATCAGAACGCCGTCGCCGACACAGGGAGCATGAAGAACGTGGTCGCACTGAGAAGGACCGCCATACTCGAGACAGAAGCCGAGCAGGTAGTCCAAGCACGCGACACAGACGACACAAGCGACGCGAAGGTGAGGAGAGAGAAGAGAGAAGCGATGAGAAGGAGTCTCGTCGCCTCTCACGGAGGTTCCTTGGACGAAGTGATGAAGAGGACAAGGAGCGGGAGAGGGAGAGAGAGAAGCGCAGATCCATGAGAGAACGACCTACTCTTGACAAGAGACACTCTACCTCTGCTTCCATCAGACATCGCGACCCCGAGTATGCCGAACGTGAGAGGAGATCCAGTCGCGTGGATGGTGAGAGGCGACACAAGAGTAGTCGTGAGCACTCACGAGCCTCACATAGCCACACTCCTCGCGCTCCTGAAGAGGACAGACATCGCGACGAGGATCGGGAGGCTCGGAGAGCAGAGCGTCGACGACTACACAACGAGCGCAAGGCAGCTACCCCCAAGCACAGTGACTCTGACCGCGGCGAGAAGGAGAGGTCATACACCAGAAGTGTTGATCCTGAGCGCGCAAGAGAGCGACGCCATAGCCGACATCTCAGCCAACTTGATAACGACAACCGGAGGGACCGGTACAAGGACTACGAATCAGCCCGAGCCTCAATGAAGATCAAGAGCCCAAGTCCAGGATCAGATCCTGAGAAGGAGAAGTTGAGGATGCATGAGAAGGAGCGCGAGAGGGAGGAGGAACGGCAGAGAGAGCGTGAACGCGAGAAGGAGAATGAGCGCGAACGCATCCGCTTAGAGGAGAAGCGAAAGGCTGAAGAGAAGAAGAGGGTTGAGGAGATGGAGAAGGAGCGTGAGAGAGAGCGACTCGAGGAACAGAAGAAACTTGATGAGAAGAAGAGAGCTGAGGACAAGCGACGTGCTGAAGAGAAGAAGCGCGCTGAGGAGAAGCGCAAGCTCGAGGAGAAGAAGAAGTTGGTCGAAGAGAAGCGCCGCCTGGCAGAGAAGAAGCTCAAGGCCGAGAGTCGACGCAAGGTCGCTGAGGAGCGCGAGAAGGAGAAGGAACGCGAGAGACTTGAGGAGAAGAAGAGAATCGAGGAGGAGAAGCGTCTTGAAGAGGAGCGACGTATCGAGGAAGAGCGAAAGCTCGAAGAGAAGAAGCGTCTGGAGGAGAAGCGCAAGGCTGATGAGAAGAGACGCGCTGATGTCCAGGAGAAGGAGCGAAAGCTCGCCGAGGCCAAGAAGCGTATCGAGGAGAAGGAGAAGCGCGCTGCTGAGCGCAAGGAGAAGGACGCTCGTCGTGCTCAACGTAAACAACAAAAGGAAGAGCAAAAGAAGAAGGATGCTACCGCCGAGGAGCAAGCGTACGTCCCCCCTCCCCAACCATCTCTACTATCTCATACTAACACCATCGCAGAAACAAGCCTCAGATTCTCGGCCCCAACAAGTGGCCCGCCCCAGGAGCACGCCTCGGTCCCGCCCTGGGCCCCCTGCGACTAGCTACAGCTACAGCTCCAGCTACAGAGACCAAGCCGAAGCCGGCTGTTGTCGACGACTCCGACAGCGGTGTCGACTAAGTCAAGCGAGAGGAACAAACAGTACATGAGGCGTTACTTTGTTTTCCCGGGATTGATCAAAGCGGTTTATTTTTGATCTATGACACAACATCTCCACTCACAAATATGAACTTGAACTTGCAGGATGAAAGGACTCCTGGAATGGTTCAAACCGACTAATGCGGCTTTGGAAGAAGCCTACTTTATACCCTGACTGATGAAACAGTCACAACTCCACTCAAAGAAATACTTTAACGTTAATGCTCTGTATGAGTATAATATGAATATGAATGATTACGAACACTTTTGTTTCTCTCGTGACTGTGATGTGATGACTTGGACTACTTGATCATGACTGCGCCTCCATCGACGATGAGGTCCTGACCCGTCACGAAGCCAGCGTTGACCATATAATCAACAGCCTGAGCAATATCCAACGGTCTTCCAGCTCTATTCGTAAGGTGATCCTCCACATCCTTATTCTCATTCAAATGCGCCCACTCAACGCCCTTTTCATCACCCTCTTTCGACTCATGACCTGCCTTGATTCGACCTGGCGCCACCAAATTCACCCTGATCCCGAAGGGCTGCAGACTAACAGCCATACTGTGAGTGAGACCCAACAGACCAGCCTTCGCAGATGCGTAACCTTCCTGATTTGGATCGCTCTGCTTTGCGCGGAATGATCCTATGTTGATGATGCAAGGCCCAGCAGTGCTGTGGCTATCATCTGTCACAGGCTCTGTATCCTTCTCATTCTTCATGAACGGGACACAAGCCTGCGATACCACAAATGGCGCGGTGAGATTCGTCTCAATGTACGCTTTCCATTCCTTCAACGTGTCTCTATCAACCATAGTCTTGCCATCCTTCCAGTGCGGTGACGCAATCCCGCCATTGTTGATGACAACGTCGATATGGCCACCGAGAAACTTTGCTGCTTGCTGAATCTTTTCGTAAATCTCATCTGTGTTGCGCAAGTCGCAGATGGCGGAATCAACGGCCTTGGAGTCGTAGTAGGACTTGAGATGGGTGCGCGTCGTGTGAGTGAGTTCCTGCTCGTCTATGTCGAGAATGAAGACGCGGTATTGCTTTTCGAGGAAGTAGCGCGCGAGAGTACGTCCGATACCCCGGGCTCCGCCGCTGACGACGGCTGTTTTGGGCATGATGATGGTGTCGTAGTGAGGGTTGACCTGGCTCATGGGAACGAGAGTCGAGTGGTAATATCGTCAGATATACGGGCGTCATGAGCACGTACTGAAGACGTCACGCTACGTCATTGAGTCTGAATATTCGAGGAAAGTGCAGAGCGATAGCTTCTTATCGCCGTGCATATTATCTGGTGTAGTCTATCGATGCGTTTTATTCAGACCAGGCAAGGTGGTAGTCTTTCATGATTGCCATTTCGCAATAATAAGGAAGGGTTCAGGATCTTCCTACGATGGGTTAAGGAGATCAAATTTAGGTAATATATTTTATTTCTGGATATTTGCGTGATAAAAATCGCCATGGTTACTCTATAGCTCTCAATGAAAACATCGAGAACAGGTTCGAGGTACAATGCCTGGCCTAAGGCGACTCGCTTTAAAAAAGACGTACTGCATGTGGGTTGGGAAAGCTCAACAGCACCACAACATTGATAGATAAAGGCACTTTAACAATAATATTAAAAACATACTCTGTAGCCAGTAGCAATCTATTATCGCGGTACGTATTGTGTCGTCTAAATGCATTTTGTTCAATTCAAGGCAAGCAGAACAGTCCTGTTAGGCTCAGTCACGGCTTCCACCCAACCACCGCTCGAACAGCCTGAGTCATAGCACCGAGTTGCTTATTTGTCTTGACCGTCTTGCCTTTGTTGTATCCTTCTCTATAAGCGATTCTATCCTCGCCTACAAATTCATTAGCCTATGAAATCAAGCACTGAGTGACAAAGAACGGTCTTACCAAGTAATGCTTTAACCCAATGCTTTGGCGCTGCCTTCTGTTGTTCATCCCATATAGTCAAGAGATAGAGCGCAGTAGTGCCATATTCGGTCTCATGCTGATGCACGGAAGCATTGAACTCCGGATTGACACGCTTGGCGAGGTCGAGCCGAGTTTTAGTTGCTTTGGCTGCAGTTTCGATTGTTACAAATTTATCTTTACGGCTGATCTTGTTCAGCCCAAGGTCGCGTGCGACGGGATCAAAGACTGTAGCATCGAAGTGCAGATCATCACCGAAGAAGATGTCGTTTCGAGTGAGGGAGCCATCGACCTCGATCTGGTCGTGCTGAGCCAGGTCTCGGAGATGGAAGGTTTCGCTGGGTCTGTTTGAGGTGGAGATATTGAGCTGAAACACCATGTTGACGGCATCGATGTAGAAGCCATCTTCGAAATTATAAGCGGCTTGGGCTGCATGATTGATCATGTCGTAATCGATGTTTGAGCCATCACGTGGAAGGTAACCGTGGTTGGCGAGAGCGTTGAGACCTGGGCACGGTGATCGACCTGTAGTGAGACACAATGTTAGCCTTTTGGTTATAGTAGCTGTTCCGATTTGAAATGGATGACTTACTGTCGTAGGGTCCTGCGGCGCGGAACTCATGGCCCTTTGGATCCGGCAGTGCAGAGGCCACGATTGCGAAGAACGCTGAAGGAAAAAGAAAAGCTTTCATGCTGCAGAATGATACCGTTTGGGGTTAAAGGAATTATTTCTGTAGAGTCAGGAAGAGACACATATTTAATGCTTTTTCCCTCTTTTATTACTGCCGCTTCTTCTACTTTTGCGTCTAGTCATGTCGAATGAATACGCTGTTCTTGGTTGGCGTATTGCGTATTGGAAGCGTATTACGGCGCCAAGCGTATACCAGGCGTATTGCCTACAGGGCTTTAGCGAATCAGACAGAGCGCTTTAATCCCCTAGCGTCCTGCTTGAGGCTCATGCATTTTATGTAGCTAAGCCCATCCCGAGATACTCAGCCCTTTGAATAAAGAACAGCGACACAAGAATAAACGCACTGACAAAAAAAGGTTTATCGAGTAAATCAAGATTAGTAACATAAGAGGAACCAGAACCCAGAATTGGTGGATCTTTTGGCCTCGTAGAAAATCTACGGAGACCCCTCTGATGATTTCAAGTATGCCAGTTTGGCAATCTCATCAGCAGCAACATCACGCCCCTTCTTCCCAGCCTTGATCCTATCACCCAGCCATTTCGCTCGTCGCTGTAAGAAACTCTCACCACAGCCATCTATTCCTTTCATGAAGGCATCCAGCAAGCACTCACTCGTCCAGTTGGGCGTTGAATCCCTGCAACCCCAAACCCCAATGCCTCTTGTCTCAGCTAGAGCAGCATAGTTGTAGAGGTCGGCCCACAAGAAAGTACAACTTGCGTGACACCGGCTCTTCAAAATCGTCAGTGGTTGTATATCGAGTAGTCTCAGGCATTACCTACACGAGGGCTTCGTGAAAGCAGTTCGAACCGCCGTGATGCACTGAAGTAACAATGTTTCCAGTATCAAGAAGTGATGCCGGGTCTGCTACAAGCCAACTTGGCATTTTCAGTCGCTCGTTTTCGAGATAGGGCTTCAAGTGCACCAGGAAATTATCAGAAAAGTATCCCAGCTTATTAAATTTCCACAAGACCTGGTAATCAGTAGAGGACAGTAACGCTGCTATGGCGATTGCCATAACTTCAGCAGGACTTTTGTCATACTGCCAAAAGTTAACAAAACATGCATTTCCTGTATTCTCAGGACCTACTGCAAGATTACTGCTCAGATTGAAGAGCACTGTAGGAGCTTTTTTGAGCCAAGTTGCAGTCCCAGGATCCTGAAGGTCAGCTGGTGGTCCTGACCGAATGATCGGCCCAGCACAGGCGACGTTTGGCGGAAGAACCTCTACTGGGATCATGGCGCCTTGTGTGTTTTGAGTTATCCAAGGGACACTCGGTCGGTGCATTCCGAATAAATTCATTGGTTCTCCAAGGCCGATATGTTGAAGTCGACCTTTCTTTTCCCACATATCCGGTGTAAACATTGCGCTTTAAATATAACGTATATTCATGTATATGTTCTCCGGAAGCTTGAGCCAGGGAACTGGGAAAGGAAACCCTGATGATGGACTATTGCTGTCAGTGTCAATCGACTTCCTTGGAAGCAACGACTTACGCGGGGTATTTCCAGAGCCTGGTCCAGAAAGGCTGAATGCCCAAGAAATGGTCTACAAGAGTATTGGGCGTGATGAAGGCGTGTTGCCTATTTATTTTGCGTGTGGCATCTATAGCTGGCCGGAACCAACTATCAAGCACAATAACAGCCGGATCTACTTCGTCAATAACACTACCCAGCTCTTTGCACAAGTGCACATGATCTTCAAACGCCCATGGCGATATCCAAAGCTGTATGTGCTCGGCCAAAGTAGCGATACCTCTCCATCAAGGAGGGGATATGAAGCTTCGACCTTCTCTGGCGATTGCCTGCACAAATGTCGGACCGGTGAGACCGCGAAAAGCGATTGATTTAGCATGAGGGGACTTAATCTTGGCGAAGGACGAAACTCGTTCGGCCTTTTGTCAATAGGCGGAAATGAAGCAAAATGCACTTCTATATCTGGGTAGTTCTCTAGAAACGCCGATGCTGTTGCAAGATGCACATTGGACAGACCATGCTCGCTGTTTGTGAGAAAGAGCACGGTTTTGTTTCTTCCTTGGACATATGGCGCATGATCTGTTGGGGTCTGGTGGGTTAAAAAGTAAGCCAGAGGCACAACAAGCAGGGCTGTGAATAAGAGAATACGGGCAAACATGACGAGCACTATGTTGATGCTATTCCCAGATTAACCATAGCGACAGTGATTTGCTTCGTACTTTCTACGCAACAAGATATGGCAAGTGTTTGCCTGCCCCCGCTTCAACCCATGTTCCTCACGGCACTTGGTGAACATCGCTTAACCAATTCCACCAGCTCTTCCAACTAGCCAGCCATTCAGAACACCTCACCTAAGCAGCTCCATGTTGGAAAAGATTACGGAGTAGCTCACCCTTAAACTGCTGCCTTACTGGGGTTGAGGAGGGGCATTGAAAACCCCGCACCACAGAGGAAGAGCAGGGAATGTAATCCTCTGCATGTTACCTTGCCATCCATCCAGCTTGGCATCTCGCTTATTATCATGGCAGCAACTCGTACAGACCAACAAATTCTCCCCGCATCATGGCAGTCATTGCACAAATTTTCAAAGTCTTTGATATCGGAGACAATGGCGGCTTTGCTTAATTACATACCATTCTTCAAGAAGGAAGAGGAACGTCCTCTCCCAGACATTGTTGAGCCAGATGACATCATTCCGGTGCACTTGTTTGACGATACTGCAGCGGCGCGGGGAATTGTGCTGGTATGGACTTTGCAGTTCGAAGACGTACTGAACCCCCATAAATTGAACGATGCTTTGTCCAAGCTTTTTGAGATGGATGGATGGCGGAGATTGGGCGGGAGATTTCGGCAGAAGGTATGGTTTCACGACTCTTCAAAGTTTCTCGATATTGACCCGCGTACAGTCAGACGGCGGACTCGAAATACATGTTCCCCGAGAATTTACAGAAGAGCGCCCAGCAGTGCATTTCACCCGAGAAGAGTTCCAAACCCCAATGTCAGAACATCCACTGGCTTCAAGGCTACCCAGCCCAACTGGGAATATCTCTACTTATACTGGACCGAAAGAATTCTGTGCCCTTGGACTCCGCCCCGAGACGCCTCGCAACATGGATGACTATGTTCATTCTGACATACCTCAATTCTGTCTCCATGTGCAAACCTTCACCGACGGCACTCTTGTCAACTTGACGTTTTCCCATGTCACAACCGACCTAATGGGGTTGTCTGCCATATTTGAGGGTTGGAGTCAGGTCTTAGCTGGAAAGCCAGAAGCTATTATCCAAATGCCAGGATATAGGAAAGACGTGTTTGACGACATGCTCAAGTCACCGCCCAAAGAACGCCATGTCCTTGCCGACAAGATTCTTGATGGCTGGCGTTTCAAAGTCTGGGGCTTACGGAGCTTGTATGAATCGTGGAAGTCCGGCAACATTCAGTCGCGGACTCTGTGTATCCCGAAAGATACAGTTAGCAGAATGATGCAGCAAGCGAGAGGCCACTTGGAAGAGGGAGAAGAAAGCAGCAAACCTTTCATCAGCGAAGGAGATGTCTTCGCCGCTCTCTCTTGCCTCATGCTGGCCAAGTACCAAGGTCGGGACGCGAATCGAGAGCTGGCAACTATCATGGCAGTCGACCCTCGAAGTCGAGCCAGATCGATATTCTTACCAGACAAGGCATACGTGCAGAACTCCCCTACCAATGCCTTTGTGTTCTGTCGCGCCAACGAAATCCTGGACCTGCCACTGGGGAAACTTGCTCTCCAAGTGCGAGAGGCCATACAAGCACAGACCACAGAAGAACAGCTGAAAGCCTCAACGGCACTCTCAGTGAAGTCTATGAAGACAAATAATATGCCTGTCGTCTTCGGAAGCACCAACATGGCTGCCCAGTTCATGTCGAATTGGAGCAAGGGGGACCTTGCTGAGAAGTTGGACTTCAGCCCCGCGATAGAGCAAGAGGTAAGCCTTGAGTCAAGAAGGGGGAAGAGGGGACATCCAGTGTACTACCAGGCTTCTGATCCTGGCCACAACACTGTCTCTGCCATATCTAGCGTGTTTGTGGTGGTTGGTAAGGATTACGAAGGGAATACTTGGTTTTCCAACTCGTTGCCGCAAAAGATGTGGATGGACTTGATGGATTACCTTGAGCAGTTCAGTCATGCTGGAAGAGTGTCCAAACTCTGACCGTGGCCCTGATGGCTTGAATAGTCTTCGATTTAACTTTTGGTTTTGAAGAGTTAGCAGCTTTCTCCTCCCAACGGGAGGATCTTGATATAGCATGACACTTTCTCCGATAAAGACTGTGCGATATTGAGGCGTTGAGAAATTGCACTCTATTCAATCGCTATCTATATCTAAGGGCATCCCCAAAACTCCCCGGTTGCTCGCACCATGATGTTCATATAGCTCAATAAACCTCGAGACTTTCAGAACTTTCCCCAAGATGTCGTTCAGTCACGAAGCGCAGCTTGTGCAAAAAGCACCGGAGTCAACCCCAGTAGCGACATAGATCCCCATGCCCACGAATTCTGCCTGGGAAACCTCAAGACTTGCCAATATGCCACCATCGTTAACCCAACTCGTAGGAATGCACGGGCAATCTGTGGGGCTTTGACGACAATTCCTGTGGTTGTTATGTCGATGCCGTGGGTGAGAATTGATTCGGCTAAAACGCCAACAGTAGCCAAGAGTAATATCGTGTTCTGCTTGCCGAGCTTGACAGGCAATGTCTTTAGACCTTCCTTGGTGTCTTCTGGGATATCTCTGATGTCACATGATGTCTCACGGAAGAATTGGTATAGCACGGCGAGATAGAAGCTCCTTGCTCGTAAATCTCTGCTCGCACATTGGTACTCCTTCTGCCGACAGCAGTAGGCCATGCTGGCTTCGGCACAAACACTTGCCATGCAGAATGCGACTACCAAAGACTTTGCTTCAAAGAGCTAAAATTATAAGGATATGTCATGTATAAAATGAGCGATGAGCTTACCAGAGTTTTTGGTTTGCTTAGAATCCACCCTTTGGAGATCGAATACAACGGAACGCATGGGATTCCCCAAGCCAGACCAAGAGGTAGGACGCGGTATATGTCGTATATGGTGTGAAGGTCTAATGCTGCAGTGCAGGCCAGGACAATGCTCCAGAGTCCATATACCCAAAGGTTCCATATCCAGTTGGCAGGTCGGTTTGATGGCGAGAGATCTTTGTATGTATCCATAGCTAAGGGGAGGATAATTAGTAACATGTCCTTGAGATGAAGTTAAATAGGGTCAAGAATATGACTTGCAGTCAACGACAGCTGATATGGTGCCGATAAGTCCGAGTAGCCTCACAGGAAAGTGATACGAGCCGGTTGCAGTCTGTATAGCACCTATGGCTGGAGCCAGGTGCCCCAGTCCCATCAATGCAGGCATAACACCGAGGCTGTAAAAGGTATACGTTCTGGACATGTTTAAGGTTGATCAAAGCCGAGAGTGTGATCAGCAGATGGAAGGGTTGTCAAAGGAAAGGTACTAAGTAAATGACCGTCATAAGGACGAGAAAAGAAGAGAAATACAACTTGAGATGGGCTGCCATGCTTTCACGCGCACAATCACCGATACTTTCTCCTCCTTTCACTGACACTGGTCGGCTTCGGGCATCAGACAGCGAGTTTCTCAGTGATCCACGGCCACTCCGACACCACTCCTCTCGCCAAGCTGCTCCGTCATTGACCAAGAGCCATCAGTAAGTCCGATCGGCCACAACAGGACCATGTAACTGATGCATCCCAAGCCTCTCACTTTATCACTCACACTTCATCGCCCAATGGGTACGCGACAAGAATGCCATCCAATCACTGATACCGTGGGACAAGGATATCTCCGAGCAATGTTGTTCGTTCTCGTCATGTAAGCGAGCTCGTACAGCAGGCTCTGAATCATGACGAGATATTTCCAAGAAGTCGATCTGAACCTGAACCAGACTCTTGCATACAGAAGATAATTGATCGTCATCAGGCGGCAGCATTCTCACAGAAATCATTGGCTACTCAGGTTCTTGGGGTTGGATCCTAAAAAGTGACGGTCGCATCCTCGGGGTGGGGCAGGAATTAACAAGATATTCTAGTCTTTGCTCCAGTCAAGATTCTTTTTTACCCTTGACCTCATCCCTAATATCAGCGAGACCTTTACAAGCTGTTTTGACCTCCACTTTTGGGACAATTCATCACTCTTTCCAATCTCAGGCTTTGTCACAATGGCTGTTAATCTCGCTACCACCG